AGTTCAGTAATATCAAAATGCAAAGACCTCTAATTCAAACTTCTAACATCAACTGTTTGAACAATTTTAATATTAATCAGGAATTTTGAATTTAATTGAACAACATTAACATTAGACTTTATTTATTTTTTTTAAATTATAACTATCGAAACGACGTTATTTCACTAGCTAGTGATTTAACAATAAGTCCTTGGGTAAAACGATGTAATTTCAACCAAAAAAATAAAAAATAAAAAAAACAGAATCGTTACGTATCGTATCGTGTATTGTACGATACGGTGCAAAAACGATATAGAGATACGATACATATCGTTTTTCAGGCGTATCGTGACGTATTGTACTATGATCTTGGGCAACTGAGAATAATCCTACTTAAAAAATATGTGATAAATATCTTAGGCAACTGAGAATGATCCTACATAAAAAATATCTCTAAGTCATAAGTGAGAAATCGCCTACAAGGATCACAAAATACTAATAATCAAAAATATTTTTTCTTCTTGCAGGGCCCCAAATATTTGAGTGAACAATATCAAAAAGACTAGACTGACGATTTTCATTACTATTAGGGAAAGAACTACGGTGATTTTTGCCTAATTTGCAGACCTCACATTCTAACATAAAAGAAGACCTCAAAATAGGAACAATTTTCTCTCATTTGATCAGAGCATTGGGTTCACTGACAATGAGTCAGTTCATCTGACTTACCCGAAAGGCTATACAACCTTTCAATCGTTTAACTCACTTATCAAAGCTATTCAGTCCCCCTATTATGTAGGCTTATCAGTTTCCTTATCTTATCAGCTGTCCTTTCATTTGCCTGGAACTCCGATAGCTTCTCAAAGATATCTAATGTCATATCAGCTGCCTAATTGTCTCTCAGCTCATGTCGAATGCTGTTATTGCAGCTCATAATGTGCTAATCTATCTTGAAGCTCATATGTCCTGTAATCNGTATCGTTTTTCAGGCGTATCGTGACGTATTGTACTATGATCTTGGGCAACTGAGAATAATCCTACATAAAAAATATGTGATAAATATCTTAGGCAACTGAGAATGATCCTACATAAAAAATATCTCTAAGTCATAAGTGAGAAATCGCCTACAAGGATCACAAAATACTAAAAATCAAAAATACTTTTTCTTCTTGCAGGGCCCCAAATATTTGAGTGAACAATATCAAAAAGACTAGACTGACGATTTTCATTATTACTAGGGAAAGAACTACGGTGATTTTTGCCTAATTTGCAGACCTCACATTCTAACATAAAAGAAGACCTCAAACTAGGAACAATTTTCTCTCATTTGATCAGAGCATTGGGTTCACTGACAATGAGTCAGTTCATCTGACTTACCCGAAAGGCTATACAACCTTTCAATCGTTTAACTCACTTATCAAAGCTATTCAGTCCCCCTATTATGTAGGCTTATCAGTTTCCTTATCTTATCAGCTGTCCTTTCATTTGCCTGGAACTCCGATAGCTTCTCAAAGATATCTAATGTCATATCAGCTGCCTAATTGTCTCTCAGCTCATGTCGAATGCTGTTATTGCAGCTCATAATGTGCTAATCTATCTTGAAGCTCATATGTCCTGTAATCAGTTATTGTTTCGGACAGCAGTTGGCAGACAAAGTAGCAGACTTTTTTTTACAGAGTAGTTTTAATATTTTGGATGAAGCAGCTGACCACTCTTAGGATTATTTTATGTCACAGCTGGACTGTTCATGTCACTATTCACGTGACTGTTCAGCTCAGCATTTCTTCGGCAGTGGGTTCAGTTGGCATATTTCAAGCAAGTTGCATTGGATAGGATTATTTTAGGAAATTATGCTTTCTAGAATATTTTAATATTTCCATGTAATAGCATGCATTAGAATTTTTTTAATTCCTTATTGCAATGTAATTAGATTGCATCGAGGGGTAAGGTATATACGTCCCCCCCTAACTAGGTGTAATTTAATTTTTAACCAAATAAAATCTCCCTCGCACCTTCGAGGTTCCCCAAAAAAAAAAAAAAAAAAAANTTTGAATTTAATTGAACAACATTAACATTAGACTTTATTTATTTTTTTTAAATTATAACTATCGAAACGACGTTATTTCACTAGCTAGTGATTTAACAATAAGTCCTTGGGTAAAACGATGTAATTTCAACCAAAAAAATAAAAAATAAAAAAAACAGAATCGTTACGTATCGTATCGTGTATTGTACGATACGGTGCAAAAACGATATAGAGATACGATACGTATCGTTTTTCAGGCGTATCGTGACGTATTGTACTATGATCTTGGGCAACTGAGAATAATCCTACTTAAAAAATATGTGATAAATATCTTAGGCAACTGAGAATGATCCTACATAAAAAATATCTCTAAGTCATAAGTGAGAAATCGCCTACAAGGATCACAAAATACTAATAATCAAAAATATTTTTTCTTCTTGCAGGGCCCCAAATATTTGAGTGAACAATATCAAAAAGACTAGACTGACGATTTTCATTACTACTAGGGAAAGAACTACGGTGATTTTTGCCTAATTTGCAGACCTCACATTCTAACATAAAAGAAGACCTCAAACTAGGAACAATTTTCTCTCATTTGATCAGAGCATTGGGTTCACTGACAATGAGTCAGTTCATCTGACTTACCCGAAAGGCTATACAACCTTTCAATCGTTTAACTCACTTATCAAAGCTATTCAGTCCCCCTATTATGTAGGCTTATCAGTTTCCTTATCTTATCAGCTGTCCTTTCATTTGCCTGGAACTCCGATAGCTTCTCAAAGATATCTAATGTCATATCAGCTGCCTAATTGTCTCTCAGCTCATGTCGAATGCTGTTATTGCAGCTCATAATGTGCTAATCTATCTTGAAGCTCATATGTCCTGTAATCAGTTATTGTTTCGGACAGCAGTTGGCAGACAAAGTAGCAGACTTTTTTTACAGAGTAGTTTTAATATTTTGGATGAAGCAGCTGACCACTCTTAGGATTATTTTATGTCACAGCTGGACTGTTCATGTCACTATTCACGTGACTGTTCAGCTCAGCATTTCTTCGGCAGTGGGTTCAGTTGGCATATTTCAAGCAAGTTGCATTGGATAGGATTATTTTAGGAAATTATGCTTTCTAGAATATTTTAATATTTCCATGTAATAGCATGCATTAGAATTTTTTTAATTCCTTATTGCAATGTAATTAGATTGCATCGAGGGGTAAGGTATATACGTCCCCCCCTAACTAGGTGTAATTTAATTTTTAACCAATAAAATCTCCCTTGCACCTTCGAGGTTCCCAAAAAAAAAAAAAAAAAAAACTAGGAACAATACGGCAAAGCTTCTGCAATGTAGGGTGACCCAAACAAAAATGCTACTAAAGTGGAGATATGGTGGCGCTCAAGGCAGGTATTGGATCCCTGGAATATAAATAATAAAAGGCCATTTTGCTCATGTACCGAAACAATCACTTTTTTCGTCTGTAGGTCCTGAACACAAAAGAATGGAGGAAATGTCACTAAACACAGTAAAGATTTAGTCAGCTGATTCATAGATAATAAGTGAAAGGGAAAATAAGGAACAAATAAACTAGAGGCTAAGGACAGAGGCTGAGTGGGATGAAAATACCAGTTCCATACACTAGTCGAAAAGCACCATTGGTTAAGACAATATGAAAGTTAGAAGAGCGAAAATTTGAAAACAAACAAGAAATACCAAATATATGACCACTAGCTTTTGAATCAATAATCCAAGCTAATCGGGTTGCTAAATGTGTAGAATCTCTTTCTCTTCTTGATTTGAAGTGAATTATGAGATTAGTCAAGGTAGATTTGGCCTTATGGTAGCTTAGGGATGTAGGATTTGTTCTTGGCTTTCTATATAATATAAGAGGCAGCATTAGGCTTAATGGGAGTTAGTCTAAAAAGGTTTGCCCATTTATGGAACTCGTAATTAGAGTCAACTTGGTGTCTAAGGAAACTCCAATTCGCAAGGGCTACTCGAGTCATTAGAGGGCGGTCAGAGTGCAATTGTTAATGGAATGATCAGACAAATAAATCGAGTCCCGTTGGTTAAGGACTGCTCGAGCTGTGTTAAGACCACTCAAGCTGTCTCGAGGCCACTCAAGTGACTAGAGAGCGGTCTAGCAAGTTGTCTCCATTACCAATTGTTTTTCCTTCTCCGAATTTTTTCCAAGTGTTCAGAGACCGTTGTAGTCGTAGGCCAATGAATAGAGGGTGATCCCTATTGGTTTTAAGCCAAAAATAAGAAAAAAACTTGTCTAATTAAGCACTAAATAGCGTTGCTCAATCGAGCTTTGCACCATGACTCAATTTATGTCAAAACAACATTTGAAGTTTCAAAAATCTTTTCAACAAATGTCCTATGAGCCGTGTATGGAACACTACTCATTTAATGAAGACCTCATGAGCCAAAGTAAAAATACCAAGAGTCACTTAAGGTCTCTTAAGGATTTCTCCTTTCCTAAGGATTGAAGGATCCTGGTGGGCTTCATTATGTGGATTGTAGCTTGAACCCCTTCCTTCTTGTAGTTTTGGATCTTTAACATAGAAGCTTTATGACCATGAATCTAGTTGAGATTTACATCGAGACTTCAAGGAATTAGATGATTACAATGAGGAATATCCTAACAGAAAAAAGAAGAAAGGTCGGACTCAAGTGGGAGCAAATCAGTAGAGAAACACCCGAATGCAATAAAGAATAAGGCAAGAAATTAAATTCATCTTCCAAAAGTTGTTGTAATTGTGAATCCCTGATAAAGATAATAAAAAATTATATCTGACCTTGTTCACACCTTATAGTGTTACACTTTTAACAGGTGTTAACTTGTTCTTCAATGTATTCCCATGTGTCAAGCTGCATTCTGCATTTGTAACTATGCTTATCTTCTGCCTTTTCTACCTTTCGTTGTTGGTATTATTGATAAACTTTTTTGGTTTAATGTTCATTGAGGCTTCTCTTATAATAGAAAAGATTTTTTAAAACATGGAGATGCTTTTGTGGTGGCCCTTTGCTTGGAAGAATGTGATAGATTTGTTTAAGCCTGGAAGTTGGGCTGTGAGCTCTGCAATTGTAATGGAAGGCTTGAACCGGAGACCAGCTGTGGGTTGGGTTTTTTTCCAATGCCACTAGGGACTTGTTATATTTATCGTATCATTGCAGCAAAGCTGCTTTAGTTAAGCAAATTGTAGTATGCTTATAAGTTTGTCACTTTTTTGCTTTTTTTGTTTTTCCTTTCAAATTCTACTTGTTCCGTCCTTATAGATATAATTTTGCTTCTTTTTGTATGACTAACTCTGATATGCACTGCTATATGCAGTCAATAGATAGATTATCCATTAGCCCTTTTAAAGCAACCTTTAATTGGATGATAAATATATGTAAAATAGACAAATGCAGCAATTGGGATGGCACTGAGTCCAGTCTTTGGACGAAGGTGTATAAAATAACAGAAAAAAAGAACCATGAGGAAGAAGAATAATTAGACAATGAAGATGCGAAGATGGGAAAAATCGTGGGAATAGGTCTAGCTAATTTATTTGTTATGGATTTTGTATCAATTAAATAAAATTGACTGAGGTGGTGTTTTCCTTTCATTTTTTATTTTTACAGGGAGAACCTTTGTGTATTTTCTATTCTCGTTATGAAATGTGCAAATTTGGTCCAAGTTGCAAGTTTGACCACCCTATGGGAGTCTTCACATACAATCTCTCTACACCATCTTCAGCTGATGTCCCGGTTGTTCGGCGTTTGTCAGGCCTATCATCAGGAACTGGTATGGTAACTTTGTCATCAGAAGGGCTCAACGAAGGGAGTGCTGCAAAGCCTAGGCGACTTTCACTGTCAGAGGCAAGGCAGTTGCCTTCTGGAGATAAGGACATTGACACGGAGGGATGAGTGCTTCCTCACACATACATCCACTCATCTCTTCAGTCTTTTGGGGGATGCACTGCAGTTGCCTGTAAATTCATATCCATTGCTGGAATGTACAGAATTCTTATTAAAGTCAAGCTGTTCACCTGAGAATGCATTTTAGTTGACTAGTTTGACTTTTTTGTTTTTTTAACTCTGCTGCATGTATAAATCTGCAAATATTGTCACTTTTGGTGAAACCAATTGTGAACATTTCATCTGTTTCAAAATGTCACCTTTTTGGTTTATGTGAATCAGTACTGCCTCAGTCTCATGTATGAAGCATTTCTTTTGCAGTGGCTTCTGTCTGGCTTTCTGGTAATCTTTGTCATAACCACCCTGCACTATTTCTCATCAGACTCCTACCTCTATTTATTATGCTTGAATTTGTTCCACCTCTCTTGCACGTATGTGTTCTTCCTCATCATCATCGAAAACACAATCCTCATCAGTTTCTTATTATTATCATCCCATTGAGTACTATAAAGAATTCCTATTGTTAGAAGTCAATCCCACTGAACCACACTCGTACACTTGACATGAAAAGTAGAGGCTGTGCCTCAACCAGCAAAGTGGGACAGCCATACCAAGCTAGCAAAAGATACGATCAAGCTATACTTTTCATTACCATCATTGTAGCATCATCATCGTTGTCGTCATCATCATCGTCATGGATGTTGCTGCTCTGCTGCTATTACCATCCGATAGGAGCTTTCAATCAACTCTAATGTATGTTCTATTTGGTTGTTTTCCCCCATATGCTTTTGGCAGATAGGTCTCCGTGTGGAACTCTATATGAGCCCATTCCATATTTGGTGAATCACGAGAACTCTAGAGGCAGAAGAATTAACGAAGGATTTGACTCGTTTTGCACTGGGTGAATTCCCTCCAAAGTTATGAATCTCAAAGCTGATCTCTGTAACACCTGGATGGGTAGCTCTAGTGTTTATTTCACGAGTTGCTTTCTTAGCCGAAGCGGAGTACAATTTTATGCTGCCAAAGAGACGAGTTCAATGATTGTTATGCTGGATAGATTGCAGTAGTATTCTTTTCCAGATGCTTTCTGAAATGGATGATATCAGTCACAAAATGTGTGGCTCCCCAATGAGACCATTCCAGTCTCCTGCAGCACAATCACTGGTGAAATCGAGGTAGATTTCATTAGAATTTGAACATATGGTACTGTTCTTCTCTTTTGTTTAATAGAACTCTACGAGATTGATATTTCTAGGAACTGTGACTTACTTGTGGATCAATAAAAACAGAAGTTGACAAGTTGTGTGGCTTGTAGTGTCAGCCCGCCTGACTTATGATAAACTTGGGTAAATTTGCTTCCATATACACATGTCAGTTTGTTGGGTTGTGACACATGATGCATGCCTCTTCAACTATAAACTTGGAGTTCAAAATATGCAACTTAATGAAATGGCTTTGAACTTTTGCATAATTAATGCCGCTCTATCGTTCCCCCACCCTCCCCTAATAAAAATCATGCAAATGAAACAGAAGTAATAAAGCATGGGGAAGATGAAAGACCTGGTCTTTTTCTTACCAAAAGAGTATGTTTCTTGTACTTTATTGAAGGTTAGAATGAGCAGAGGATAAACGGGGTGGAAGATAAGAGGTAAAAGAAACAATAGATGAAATCTAGAAAAATTTAGGAGATAGTTCCCTAGATCAAGGGGAGCAAATTAATATAGCATAGGCACTCACCTTCTAAAAGATTAATCATAAATCACAAATCACAAATTACAAATCACAGGAATAGGCTCTTTATAATTAGTTAATACTTGCTCCAAAGCTTGGAAGCCAAGGAAACTTGTCCAAGTAATTTACTAATCCTGGAAACCAAGACAGACTAAGAACTAAGAAGTGAACCTTTCTCTAGGTACATTGGTCCGAATAAGTTGAAGCTAAAATACATAAAATAAACAAACAATTGAAATCTCACCAAGTGAGCCCACTCTTTGCCTAGAACTGAAGTACCTGAATAATAAAAATTTATAACTCTTTATAGATCTAGACTTGATGTAGATCATATTAGCTCTGATACCAAATTGATGTAAACTAGAAAGAGAAGAATTAGGAATGAGAAGAGAAGAGAAGAAGAAAGGGATGAGAAAAGAGAAAGAATTTTGAGAAGTAAGTAATATCAGTATTCAATAATAATCAAAGTCTAATTTAAATAAAAGTCTTACATGCATCCCTTTATATAAGAAAACTAAAATTTTAAAACAAATAAATAAAAAAAAATAAATCCTTAAAAGTTAAAAAAAAATACTTAAAAGATAAATATTAAAAGTATCTAAATAACTCTCATAACTAATCAATAATATCTATTCAATTCCTATATTATCCCCATCACAATATCCTTATATGGGGCTAACACTTGTAATTAGTGTATGCATAAGTATAGGATCAAGCAGAACATGTGCCAAGTTCCAAAAAAGAAGAAGGAAATAACAGAAGCCTAATGCAAAATCTCAATCAGGAATAAGTATCCGGAATTTCGGATGTGCCATGCAGAAGACTATACCAAAAGTTCAATTGAAAAGGAAGAAGACTATACCAGAAGTCCAATTGAAAAGGAAGGGTTGGGGAAAGAAACGGTACCAAGAAGACTTTTAGGAACTCTGGATGTGTTATGTGGAAGCCTACTCCGGAATTCTGGAGTACCTGGAGTTTCGGATGTAAAGGAAACATGAAGGGCAAGGTCGAGAGGCAGAAGGTAGTTCTGAAATTTCGGATTGGTTCCAACTAAAAGTTTGGTCACTGTTCATCTGAAATTCTGGATGAATATTTGGAGGCTTTCTAAAACTTTTTGGAATATGAAAACCCTAAAGAACCAAGATAGAGTTTTAGACAAGGTTTTTTTGGAAGTTTGGATTCCTATTCGGATGTGAAAGTGACATCCGAATATATCATGATTTAAAGTATCGGCTGATACCAATATGAGTTGGCCTAGTCGTATCTGTCTCGATACCTTCGGAGACAATACCGTTATACGATACGTATAAACCCTGAGTCTCGCATAACTCGACTGAGTCGTCTGAGTTGTATCCGAGTTAATTCCGAGTCGTCAAAATATCGCCATCAAATTGGCTGATACGTTTCTACGACGCCGTGATATGACCTGAATTTCTTGTCATGTTCAACATTTTTTTTTAAATCGTATTGCCTGATACCGCTCCGCGACGCCATAACTGATGTGTCTTAAAGCTCTTCGAATTGATGATAGATATCGCGACCTTAAATCATGGAATATATAGCCATTAGGCCTCCAACGGCTACATCCAGAAGACCAGTTGGAAGTCCATATAGGCTTCTGGATGACTCGATTTTTTGCCAACTTTAAATCTCTTATTCACTACAGTAAACTATAAATAGGGCTTTAAGGATTTTCAAGGACAAATTTTTGAGCTTTTACCTTTGAGTAAAAACAAAAGAGAGATCCATCAAGCTTTTGTCTACATCTTGAAGATAAGATTCTAGTGTATATCTTATTCTTCCTTCTTTGATTCTCTTGAGCTCTGTGAGAATATTGTATTGGGAGAATATTTTTTAGAAAATGAGATCTTTGTATATTCTTTTTGAAAAGTGCAAAAATGAAAGTTTATCATTTGTTTTAAGAAGAAGAAGATTGTAAGGGTTCCTATTCTTACCCATTTGAAGTGGATAAAGATAGTGAAAGGAAACTCCGATGTGAGAAAGAAGAGAGGATGTAGGCCAATGTGTGTATATTGTTGCTCACTACACACTCATATCATGCTCACACACTTGAAATCAAATCAATTTTATAAATAGTAATTTTGTTTTTGAAAAGTAGAAACTTAATTCACCCCTCTGCTAGGTTGCATTTGGGATGCTATTCTGGTATCAGAGTTTGGACTNTCACAAATTACAAATCACAGGAATAGGCTCTTTATAATTAGTTAATACTTGCTCCAAAGCTTGGAAGCCAAGGAAACTTGTCCAAGTAATTTACTAATCCTGGAAACCAAGACAGACTAAGAACTAAGAAGTGAACCTTTCTCTAGGTACATTGGTCCGAATAAGTTGAAGCTAAAATACATAAAATAAACAAACAATTGAAATCTCACCAAGTGAGCCCACTCTTTGCCTAGAACTGAAGTACCTGAATAATAAAAATTTATAACTCTTTATAGATCTAGACTTGATGTAGATCATATTAGCTCTGATACCAAATTGATGTAAACTAGAAAGAGAAGAATTAGGAATGAGAAGAGAAGAGAAGAAGAAAGGGATGAGAAAAGAGAAAGAATTTTGAGAAGCAAGTAATATCAGTATTCAATAATAATCAAAGTCTAATTTAAATAAAAGCCTTACATGCATCCCTTTATATAAGAAAACTAAAATTTTAAAACAAATAAATAAAAAAAAATAAATCCTTAAAAGTTAAAAAAAAATACTTAAAAGATAAATATTAAAAGTATCTAAATAACTCTCATAACTAATCAATAATATCTATTCAATTCCTATATTATCCCCATCACAATATCCTTATATGGGGCTAACACTTGTAATTAGTGTATGCATAAGTATAGGATCAAGCAGAACATGTGCCAAGTTCCAAAAAAGAAGAAGGAAATAACAGAAGCCTAATGCAAAATCTCAATCAGGAATAAGTATCCGGAATTTCGGATGTGCCATGCAGAAGACTATACCAAAAGTTCAATTGAAAAGGAAGAAGACTATACCAGAAGTCCAATTGAAAAGGAAGGGTTGGGGAAAGAAACGGTACCAAGAAGACTTTTAGGAACTCTGGATGTGTTATGTGGAAGCCTACTCCGGAATTCTGGAGTACCTGGAGTTTCGGATGTAAAGGANAGCCTACAAAATCCAAAACCAGCAATAGATATGTGAAGGATACGAGCAATAGAAAATTGATTGAGTAATGTACAAAAGCAGTACAGACAATCATGAAAAATCAAAGCATCCTTATGGNTTTTGCCAACTTTAAATCT